GCCGCCCGCCCGGGCCCCCCAACACCGCCCCCGGGCCCGGCTTTAACCCCAGGGGGGCAGGTGCGGCTCGTCAGCGGGTGTTAAATCCCCGGGCGCCGCCGTCCCTCCTGGCTGGGGGATTGACCTCCATCAAAGGGCCTTTGGGCCTGTCACCTGCGGGCCAGAGAAATTGGGGTGCTCTCCCGGGCTTTACACAGACCTCCAACCTGTTCCTGAGCTCCCCTGAGCCCGCTCCCCTCTGTGGGGCTGGAGGTAAACGGGGAGTCGGAGCTGTGGCTTAGACCTTACAAAGAAAACGCTTCACTTCTAGCTTTTTAGCGAGCGTAAGGTGCCCTTAATTTCTCCCACCTGCCTCATTGTGACTGCAATAAGGCACATCTGGTGCTTTGAGAGGAGCCCCAGTCCAAAATTCTAAGCCAAACTTGCAATGAAATGGCCTGTTCACAGCTGGGCCAATGCTGCTTCGAAGGAGGAAGCCGTTAGCCCTCCCATTCACTGCTGTCCTCCCCTTGCAGACATCTTTCCCACCCGTGTCTCTGTTTCTGACCCCTCTGAGCGATGATTTAAGGCCATTCCCTTTTGAAAAGACTTGTGTGGGGAGTCTGGGTGGGAGGCAGCGTGTCCCCAGGAGGGAGTTCGTGTCGTTCCTCACTGATCACCGCTGCGGGAGTCTCACGCTGCCGACGCAGCTCGGCTTGGGCGCTGCTTGACTTGACGCCAGCGGTTGCTGCCTGACTTGTTCCTTCTCTCCTGTCCTGTCGCTGCATGGTGATGGATGGTTGGATTTCTGTGAAGGCGCAGCTGGGAACACATCCCTGTCCCTGTGTGAGCTGGTGGATGCGCTGACTGCCATGATCAATGCGCTTACTGCTCTGCTCAATAGGACTTTGCTTTCTGCTGTGAGATTTGCTTGCAAACGGTTAGCTGAAGAAAACCTTTGGAAGAAGATGTCAAAAGCCAGGCATGCAGCGTTGCTTTGGGAGGTGCTGCCAGGCTCTTCTTGCTGCCTCAGAGGTGTGAACGATTAGATTTGTATCCTTTATCCGTGGGGCAGAGTGTACGTGGCTGACGAGCATCCTTACCTCCTCAGCACAGCCTGCTGGGCTGGTTTCATGGTATTTCTGGGACTCTCCTTGCCCTGCTGCTTTACAGGTGCCAAATCCCCCTGGCCCCAGAAAAATCCAGCCTCAAGCAGGTTGATTTACATCACACAGCCCGTCCTCGAGCACCCAGGAGGCAAGTCGAGCAGCAAAGTAAGGAGAGGACTCTCTGTGAGGTTGCACCTTGAATTACAGAGGGTGGTGGAGCTAGCTCAGACCAGTTCAGGATGGTTAAAGCAAAACCATCCTGTTTAGGGCTGGTGGGTGACTGGGATGGTGGCAGACAGCTCCATGGCCTCGGCAGCTTTTGCCAGCACAACGGGATGGGCTACCGAGGGCTGTGGTGGGGGGTCCTGCTCCCACCGGCTGAGGCAAGCCCAGCCCTCGCAGGCTCCTTCGTGGCAGCGTGGGCCCGCATTGCCCACAGGAGTCATTGAATTCAACACAGGGGTTGTGCTGAATTTGTTTAGTCCTTGCACGACAGCTCACGGAGACAGGAGGTTGGTGCTCTCCCAGTGTGTGAACACCATTGCTTGTGCTTAAGTTGGGAAGCTGGAGTATTGTGGTGGTCATGGTGTTTCATGGTGTGGCCCTGTCTGTAGCATTACAGCTGTAGTGCTATGAGTTTCCTCAACTAATTAATCCTTCGTTGCACTGCGGAACCCCCTGGAGATGAGATACGATCATCCTGCAGCTCCTGGGGACTGATTTGTCTGCATTTCGTGAACCTGAGATGGAGAAGTCAAACCATGGTGTTTAACTGAGAGAGGCTACGTCAGAGATGAACATAAATCTCTTAATTTTGGTGTTGCTTCTTGCCTTGGACAGGGGCATCCTGCAAATGGCATGGGCACCAGTGGGAAGTGGTGTGATTTTGGGTAAGTCCAGCGGTTTGGCGCCTCCTCTGTTAAATGGCTGTAAGGCTGTTTACCCATCTTGAGGCGGAGAAGAAGGGAAGATGTTTAGAAAGCTGAGAGATCATCAGAGGAGTCAGGAGTCACATTGTGTGGGTGATTTAAGCTCTCAGGGTTGCTTTGATGATCAGGAGGCTGGAGCAGCTCCCCTGTGAGGACAGGCTGAGAGAGTTGTGGTTGTTCAGCCTGGAGAAGAGAAGGCTCCGGGGAGACCTTAGAGCAGTTCCCAGTGCTGAAAGGGGGCTGCAGGAAAGGT